CCGCGAGCGCATCATGAGTGTGGCATTTAGTCATGTTGTTACATGACAGGCATATCGCGATTATCATGTTTGGTTGTGTCATTTACCTACGTCATCGGTTCGTGTAGCGTAACACCGAGTTTGGTACTTGTGAAGCTGGCGAAACGGCCGCGATCGCTTCATTAGCGTAGCATGTAGTCATTATGTTACATGACACGCATCTCATGTTTATCATGATGTTTCCACCAGTATCACACTTTCGTCATTCATTCAGGTCCTATAATGCCAAATATGGTATAAGGGAAGCTAGCAAAACAGCCGCCAGCGCATCATAAGCTTAGCATGTAGTCATGTTGGTAATTGAAAAGCACTTCATGATTATCATGTTTGCCTCAGTCAACACCGTCGTCATTCATTCACGTACTGTAATACTAAATTTGGTATATGCGACGCTCGAAAAACGGCCGCGAGTGCATCATGAGTGTCGCATGTAGTCATAATGTTACATGACACGAATATCATGATTGTCATGTTAGGGTCGGTTGCTTGTGTTCGCCATGCACTCATGCCATACCATATTAGTTTTGCAACATGCCATGTAAACGACACCACCTCAAAAGCTACAGAACCATGTAATGAAAATCATGACATTCATGACATACATGGCTAGTCGGATATGTTCTTCATACAGTCATGCTATGCCATACCATGTTTGATATCTTTACCATTATCGAAAGGGCCTGGAAAGCTAAATGTCGTAGGTGGCTAGATAGATAGATAGATAGATAGATAGTAAGATAGATAGATAGATAGATAGACAGATAGATAGATAGATAGATAGATAGATAGATAGATAGATAGATAGATAGATAGATAGATAGATAGATAGATAGATAGATAGATAGATAGATAGATAGATAGATAGATAGATAGATAGGCAGGCTCATAGTCGCCGAAGTTCGCTAATAAAGGCTTCGCATTAAATACGTTGTATATATACGGTAACTTAAGGTAGTGACAGTGAAAAATCTTGCAGTTGCGTATTCAATTTATAATTGGTGCTCTAATTGCCAACAAGCAGACAACGCAGAGCTCTAGCGGTGTGCTTAGGCAAATCGAACAGAACCAAATATGACGATTACTACAGAACGTCGTCGCATCACTCCGTGTGTGCAAACCTCCCTGCCGCTGAATCACTCATTCCTCCGTTGAAATTATAGTGCCTAGAAAACAGCTTTTAATGCAAGGCGTTTGAAAGGCGTCTGTGCGTGAGTGCTGCCTGCGTGCGAGTTATTTGGTAAGACGAACACACCGCATAACGGTGGCAGAAACGTCCGGGATGGCTGTGAATATACCTTTGCGTCTACATGTCGTCAGAAGCGTGTGCGTTCATGTATCCATAACAATTAATGTACTTGGCAGACAAGTAGCGCAGCTTACAAGCGCCTTCTAAAAAACGTCAGGACACCCTGGCTTTCTTCTTGAGCCTGGCTTTGTTTTCGTTTTTGTTTTTCAGAATAAAGACGCACCAACTAGCTGAGCACTCCCTTATTCTAAGCGCTGCTTTCTTCTTTATCCGGCCATTGTAACAACAATGCTGTTTCTCGCTATACTACTAACCTAAGAAAGACGACATTATTAAATAAAGAAGACAAGCTCTCCATCAAAGTGAGCCGTACACTGTCGACACAGGCTCACTCTGCTTACGTGCATATTGTGAAAACGATCCTACCGATGCTTCAGAATAGTGGCAGCTTGCTTTTCTGGCAATTCTTGAAAAGTGTAATGGCTTTGCAAGCTTGTTTACCGAAGACACATGGGATGTTAGTTTACTGTCAGCTGTAAATATTCGGGCGTCTCACTCATCGCCGTCCGTATTTCTAATGCTTAAATGTTGCTGCGATCGCTAAGTCTTCTCGAATAAGAATATCAAGTGCAGGTAACAACATTATCTTGCCCCGCTGCGGTGGTCTAGTGGCTGAAGTATCGGCTGCTGGTCCACAAGTCTCGGAATCTAATCACGGCTACGGCGGCTGTACAGCTTAAGGCCATAGTGTAAAAAATTATTTTTACAATAAAAATTTGCGGCGTCACTGCAAGCATAGTGAATACCACATGACACGCATCTCATCATTATCATGTTTGCACCAGTCACATACCTTCGTCTTCCATTGGCGTCACGCAATACCAAATTTAGCATATGTGAAGCTAGCGGAACGGCCGCGAACGCATCATGAGTGTGGCATTTAGTCATGTTGTTACATGTCAGGCATGTCGCGGTTATCATGTTTGGTTGTGTCATTTACCTACGTCATCCGTTCGTGTAGCGTAATACCAAGTTTGGTACTTGTGAAGCTGGCGAAACGGCCGCGAGGGCTTCATGAGCGCAGCATGTAGTCATTTTGTTACATGACACGCATCTTATTAATATCATGTTTGCACCAGTCACATACCTTCGTCTTCCATTGGCGTCACGCAATACCAAATTTAGCATATGTGAAGCAAGAGGAACGGCCGCGAACGCATCATGAGTGTGGCATGTAGTCATTTTGTTACATGACACGCATCTCATGTTTATCATGATGTTTCCACCAGTATCATACCTTCGTCATCTATTCGGGTCCCATAATGCCAAATATGGTATAAGGGAAGCTAGCAAAACAGCCGCCAGTGCATCATAAGCTTAGCATGTAGTCATGTTGGTACTTGAAAGCATTTCATGATTATCATGTTTGCCCCAGTCAACACCGTCGTCATTCATTCACGCACTGTAATACTAAATTTGGTATATGCGACGCTAGAAAAACGGCCGCGAGCACATCATGAGCGTCGCATGTAGTCATGATGTTACATGACACGAATATCATGATTGTCATGTTAGGGTCTGGTTGCTTGTGTTCGCCATGCACTCATGCAATACCATATTAGTTTTGCAACATGCCATGTAAACGACACCACCTCAAAAGCTACAGAACCATGTAATATAAATCATGACATTCATGACATACATGGCTAGTCAGATATGTTCCTCATACAGTCATGCTATGCCATACCATGTTTGGTATCTTTACCATCATCGAAACGGCCTGGAAAGCTAAAAGTCGTAGGTGGCTAGATAGATAGATAGATAGATAGATAGATAGATAGATAGATAGATAGATAGATAGATAGATAGATAGATAGATAGATAGATAGATAGATAGATAGATAGATAGATAGATAGATAGATAGATAGATAGATAGATAGATAGATAGATAGGCTCATTGTCACCGAAGTTCGCTAATCAATGCTTCGTATAAATACGTTGTATATATACGGTAACTTACAGTAGTGACAGTGAAAAATCTTGCAGTTGCGCATTCAATTTATAATTGGTGCTCTATTTGCCAACAAGCAGACAACGCAGAGCTCTAGCGGTGTGCTCAGGCAAATCGAACAGAACCAAATATCACGATTACTACAGAACGTCGTCGCATCACTCCGTGTGTGCAAACATCCCTGCCGCTGAAACGCTCATTCCTCCGTTGAAATTATAGTGCCTAGAAAAACAGCTTTTAATGCAAGGCGTTTGAAAGGCGTCTGTGCGTGAGTTCTGCCTGCGTGCGAGTTATTTGGTAAGACCAACACACCCCACAACGGTGGTAGAAACGTCCGGGATGGACTGTGAATATACCTTTGCGTCTACATGTCGTCGGAAGCGTGTGCGTTCATGTATCCATAACAATGAATTTACTTGGCAGACAAGTAGCGCAGCTTACAAGCGCCTACTAAAAAAAGTCAGGACACCCTGGCTTTAATCTTGAGCCTGGCTTTGTTTTTGTTTTTGTTTTTCAGAATAAAGACGCACCAACTAGCTGCGCACTCCCTTATTCTAAGCGCTGCTTTCTTCTTTATCCGGCCATTGTAACAACAATGCGGTTTCTCGCTATACTACTAACCTAAGAAAGACGACATTATTAAATAAAGAAGACAAGCTCTCCATCAAAGTGAGCCGTACACTGTCGACACAGGCTCACGCTGCTTACGTGCATATTGTGAAAACGATTCTACCGATGCTTCAGAATAGTGGCAGCTTGCTTTTCTGGCAACTCTTGAAAAGTGTAATGGCCTTGCAAGCTTGTTTACCGAAGACACATGGGATGTTAGTTTACTATCAGCTATAAATATTCGGGCGTCTCACTCATCGCCGTCCGTATTTCTAATGCTTAAATGTTGCTGTGATCGCTGAGTCTTCTCGAAAAATATATATCAAGTGCAGGTAACAACATTATCTTGCCCCACTGCGGTGGTCTAGTGGCTGAAGTACTCGGCTGCTGGTCCGCTAGTCTCGGAATCTAATCTCGGCTACGGCTGGCTGTACAGCTTAAGGCCATAGTGTAAAAAATAATTTTTACAATAAAAATTTTCGGCGTCACTGCAAACATAGTGAAGACGCAATGGACGGAGCTCAATTTGAGATACAAAGCGCCTAAAGAAAGAAAGGTGCTGTGTCGCTAAAATTGGGCATGCGGTGTTCTAATTGGCTGCTGACGTAACACACGAGGTCGAAGTAATATAATTTCCGACCTTGGGTGAAGGTGCTTTTCAAAGAAAAGCGTGTCCGGTCATCGCTTTGTTATGGTTATTCGCCGACTTCGGCGTTTCTTTCAGCTGCAAGTAACGGCTGCGATAGCGGGTTGGTAATGAACGAGAGCCCATCGCATATTCCGATCACGGAAACTTGACCGGTTTTCTCGCAGCCGAGGTGAACAAAACAAACTGGTTTTTGCAACTTGCATACCTTCGACGTTTTTGTTGTCGATGACTGAAACGAATAATGAGCCTAACCATGGCTTCGACAGAAAGGATTCTATGGTCCCTGCGTGGGGAAGGGAGCAAAAATTTGCGACCGTAGGACTAAGACGACTGAGCTCATTCGCAAGCACAAACAAAACGAAGTCTCTAAAAGCGAAAGGGACATCTTATCGCTGCGATACGGGGACTTGCTGGTGATAAAAATATACTGAAAAAGCGGGAGCTCACCAGACGAGGCCCCCCCGCTTAGAGTCACTGCAGCTGAATTCGCAGACGCTTTTACAGAGACGACCACGGCAACATGTCAGCCGAGATGGAGTTCGCAGGACGCCTCGCAGTTGTGACCGGTGGAGGCAGTGGCATAGGCGAAGCCATCTGCCATGTGCTGGCCGAAAGAGGAGCCCGTGTCGTGGTAGCGGACATCAACTTTGAAGCGGCCGAAAAGGTCTCAAACTCCCTGCCAGGTTTGTCTACAGGGTTTAAAATTTTATCTGAATATTGCCAGAAGTTTCTGTTCTGCATCCGTACAAATATTATAAACGGTCATTGATTGTTGCCGGACTTATATCATACAAGTAATGAAGGCAGTACATCATAAGGATCTTTTGTTGCAGCTGTTAATCGAGAAATAAAACTTTACTCTTAAAAAAATTGAGTATTTGCCGGAGTGTTTCTGCTACACAACAATGATCGTCATCTACTTGGAGTACTTTCCTCGCGTTATCTCCTCGGTTCCGGTAGTTCGCGGTCGCGAACGGCGCGTGCGTTATCAGTGTCACATAGCATTCCCACAAGAAAAGTGGCCAGAGCCAGGTTTTCAAGAAAGGCAATGCGAGCAAGTCAAGTTGCTGTTATTGTTGTGCAGCAGAAGCGGTGGCCAAATACTCAAATTTTGTAGTGTTATATGCAGGGTGGGCTAGAAATGAAGCTAATATATTATCCTCATTTTTAAAGGCAACCTATACGCTTTCAGTATATATGCTCAGCTACGTATGCCTGTCTCCTCTAAAATATTGCATACATTTAATATACAAAATACAGGCTTCAGCTCACCAACAAGACGCCCTCATTCATATCTTATGCAGCACGTTAACAACCCAGTGCCAGGGAAAATAGAAAAAAAATAATTTTTTACTCTGTACCAAGTGCATCACTAAGGGAATATTTTGAAATATATGAATTTTCTATAAAGCCTATTTTTTGTTGAGTTGAGGGTGGGTGCAGATAGTGCACGTATGATTTTTTTTTGCATTGTTGCTCGCCTCATAACGTCTTTCATGCAGATGGCAACCATACTTCCATCTGCATTTAGACGATCCCAAACATTTAGACGATCCTTTAACATTCATTAGTGTGCAATTTTTTATTGCCTTGCGCTCCTTCACTGCTGCTGCAGGTTGCACAGATCACCATTAATTTTGGTAACTTATGATTAAATTTTCATTGCAATACGACATCACAGGGGAGCCTGCGCAAGCAGGCGTCTAGTGAGTGGCGTCACCACGGGTCTTTGCTGACGAGAGGACGGGTATGGATTAATTGATTCATTGATTTGTGGTATTTCACGTACCAAAACCACCATATACTTATGAGAGACACCGCAGTGAAGGGCTCCAGAAATTTCAACCTCATGAGGTTTTTTAACGCGCACCCAAATCTGAGCACACGGGCGTACATCATTTTCCCTCCATTGAAATTGCAGCCGCCGCAGCTGGGATTCAATCCCATAACCGGCGGGTCAGTACTTGAAGTGCTTCACATGAACAATTTGTTCCCCACAATCAATGATTGGTCCCTTAGAAAGAACTGCACCTAAGCAAGGTTCAAGAACACCTGAATTGATTGGGGCCAGATATCCAGATTTTTTATAATATCCTCCCCTGCAGATAATCATTTGTGTTGCAGCATTCTCTATTTTCTAAAAGCTAGAACCTATTGTGAACCTAATCAACGAAAAATACAATGCTAGAACCTTTCTTCCGGTGGTCTTGAGTTGAAGTGACGTGGAAAGACCACTTTTACAGGCACTCAAACAAAAGCAGTTGGCTCACCTTAGTCTATCCTCCAGGTGTGTCTCCAGGTGTGTCCTTGTTAGCGTGTCTATCCTCCTGGAGGTTTACAATCAGAGTTCAACATAAGTTGAGGATGACTCAGCTGAGCAATGGGAACGAAAGTGCTTCGGTGTAACTCTAAAGAACAAGAAAACAGCAGGACTGTAGCCGGGAACAAACGGGTGTTAAAGAAATCATAGTCAAAATCTATATTATTTGTGACATGCTGCAGGCCCAGGTAAGGGCTCAAGCAGGAGGAGCATGGGAAGTGTAAATTATAAAAACAAGTGGTTGACAACATAGTAACCATAGAACAAAAAAGAACAACAGTACAAAAGTTGGCATATAAGCTAAGCATATACAAACAGCATGAAGAGAAACTAAAAAACCTTAACATTTTAACTGCGCACTAGCGTCAATATAGGACAAATGTTCACAAAAAAGAAACGTTCATAGGCAGGGCACGTCGCGCGAAGACAGTATAGCCGCTGGTCATTAATGATGACAGACTGAATTCCAGGAGAATACAAGCGGGTGAAGGGGAGACAGAAAGTTCGGTGAGCAGATGAAATGAGGAAGTTCTAGGGTATAAAGTGGCAGCGGCAAGCACAGAGAGTGAGTTGACAGGTGGAAGATGGGAGAGGCCTGTGTCCTGCTGTGGGCGTAGTCAGGCTATTGATGATGATGATGAATGTGCGTATTACCCCTCTCTCCCCACCACAGTCTAAACATTGTCCAACGTGGCATATCAGAGCGCTATCATATCCGCAAAATAGACTCCGACCTTCTTCAAGGTTTACGAGACCAAGGTGCTGTCGCCCTTCACCACATCACTATCAGTGAAAATGGTGAAAAGGCTATTACACCCCATATAGTCCTCACCTCCAACAGGTCCACCCTTCCAGAAGATATGAAAGTTGCGTTCATTCATTAAAAAGTCCGCTATAAATACTGAACCCGACCCCGCCGCAGTGGTCTAGTGGCTAAGTTACTCGGCTGCTGACCCGCAAGTCGCGTGATCGAATCCCAGCTACGGCAGCTGCATTTTCGATGGAGATGAATAATGCTGTAGGTCCGTGCGCTCAGAGATTTGGGAGCATGTTAAATACCCCATGGGGTCAAAATCTCCGGAACCCTCCACAACGGCGTCTCGCATAACAATATGGTGGTTTTGGAACGTTAAACCGCACATATCAATCAATGCTGAACCCGAGGAGATGCTTGAGATACCAATAGTACAGACATAAATTGAACACATGTCGCGGAAAACACTTCCAGAAATCTGATAAGATTGCAGCGTCAAAGCCCTTCACGCAAATTTTTGCCGTCACCTCTTCTCATATACTCGTTGCCACTTGCGGCGCGCTCTTCGAACACGACGCAAGACGGTCAACACGGACGCAGGGTACGCACGCGCACACGCACACACACAGAAACACACACGCATGGACGCACGCGCACAGTGTTGGTGTGTGCGTGTGTCGCGCGTCTTTCCTGGTGCTCGCAAGCGTCCAGTATGCAAGCGTCCAGTATGCAAAACCAGCTAGCTTCTACTGTAGCTCTTTTAAGTTGTGCGAAGTTACAGGTGTTTCTGCAAAGCTTCGCTGATACTTATATTATAAAGACGATAGTCTGTTTTGGGGACCTTCAAGAAAAAAAATTTGGTCTGTCTTTCTGTACACTTGTCTGTTTGTCCACCCTCACCGATATCTCAAACGGCGCCGAATGGCCAACCACATCCGCAGCGCCCACCAACATTTCAGAAGATGCAGCGTTCATACTGGTGCAATTGTCAATTAAAAAGCAATTATTGCGCATATCTGTGGCACCATAACAACACCTCGATGTTTTGTATGTGTGCCGTTATACTGAAGAAGGTACACACAAGTAATTCTAAGGAACGTAGCGTTTATCACGCTGCGCTGACAGTGCAACGCGATGCTCAAAAAGGTAATTGCTTCCAACGTTTTGCTAAAACGACACGGAGGTGGCACCAACCCGTCGCTTTGCGTTCTACATCTTATCACCTCCGAGACAGGCGTGCAGCTTTCTCCGTGGGTCCGCTCGCATTCTTCGTTTTCGAACTGCCAGAGGGCGCTCGCGTCTAACGTGCCTCGATGCGGTCGTTCGTCTCCGCTACACGCTCGATGCACTAACGCATTGCCGCCAGAATAGCATTCCCCAATTTTATTGCGTTGAACATCAAATAAGCGTTATGTTCACTCTCTCCAGGCGCAAGACTATCGTCTTTCGACGAGATTCGCAGTGTAACATGCAGTTTCGGGGCCAATTTTCAGCCGCTCTTCTGCCGAGCTTTTCTGTCTCGATTAAATTTTCGAACAGTTTTTTTTACTATATCTAAATAAGTTATCACTGATCGCAGGCTGCCAGGACCATCGTGCAGTGGAAGTCGATGTTGGCGAGTCGGCGTCCGTCGAGAAGCTCTTCCAGGTCATTGAAGGGTTCAGTGATGGCACACCAGTGAGCATAATTATCAACAACGCCGGCACTGGGGCTCTCTTCACTTCAATCACCGACGCTAGTGAGGATGACTTTGATCGCATAATGAAGACAAACTTGAAGGTGAGATACAGCTTAAAACTTACATGGTGCGAACCTGCGAGTAGCCTGTAAAACACATCAGGCAATAGCTTGCTGAAATAATTACGCCGATTAGATGAAGATGAAGGTCAAAAGAAAAACAATCAATGTACGCTACATGTGATAATTAGAGGCTGAATGGAGGCATAATTTTCGCAACTCCAGAAAAGGTTCTGTGTCCTAGCAACACTGGCTGAAAAACAAAAATGGCAGCGCTTCACATGATGAACGTTACCCTTTCCTGACCCTCGCACGTTCTTGGAATGCGTGCGTTTATACACTCTTTTCGAATGTGTGTATATACACACATTTGAAATAAAAAAAAACTGTTCGGGGGGAAGCATTAAAGCAGGTTAATTTGAGAACTGGTAGCACTACGATTTGCACAGAAAACAAGAATATGCGAAAAATACGGTCGCACACTTAAAGCGAAAATTTTCTAAAGCGCTTGCTTATCAACAAAACTATCCTGTGTGTTTGGAGAATCCCGAATATCGATGAAAATGCACACACACTACATAATGACCTACTCGCCGAGGCGAATTAACACGTCTTGAGCGAATTGAACACAACAAACTGCTGTAGTGTCTGTCGCCTTCTTTCAAATGCATAGGTTTCTGATTTGTGCCGTTTGCCGTCGCATGCGATGTCGTGGGACATCACTTTCTTCTTTTGCGGGCTCGCGCGTGTGGAATGGAGAAAATAAAGGAACAATGAGGACGCTTCTCAACGCGCCCGACATGGTAACAAATCGCCTTTCAAAGTTGACCTCGTAAGCGCCATTTCCAAGTGCGGCCGCTAGGTGGCGAGCGCTAACTTGGAGTCGCGAAGAGGAATAACTTGCAGTAGGCAATTATGGTCATATGCACTTTCCTGCCTGTTTTGGCTGCCTCGAATGCTTTCCTCAAGCTCTCTGAAATCAAAAAGGATCTCGAGCGAATTGATGATGATTCATCTCCAGGTAAAATACAAGCAATAAAGAAAGCCAGCCCTGGGTGCAACTTATTAAATAGCCCTAGCGAAGGCTGGAGGAGAGGCCTTTCCAGGGACCCCTTGTAAGGGGCAAGTACTACAAAAGACGGTGCCCGCTACGCCAGTAATATTTGCAGTTTTGAGAAGTTGGTGTGTGCAAAGTCTGTCACTATTTATCATTCTACCGAAAGGCGGCGTACCCAGGCAATGCCTGCAATGCATTTTGTGCAGTCCGTTGATGCTGCGGCTGATTACGATGATGAAATTTGGCAGAACCTTTAATCATAGGAAAGGAAAGCGTTGAAGAGTACACACTTTACGCAACAAACAATGTGTGGCGACTGGTGTTGGTTCAGTACAAAGGTATTAAGTTGCTCGCGAAAACTGCCTGAAGGGCAGGCGTGGCCATTTAACTAAGTAATTTGTAGAGAATGAAGTAAATCCTACAGAGCGCGGCAACCAACCTCTTAGCACAAAATATCTGATAGAGATATCACTGCACACTTGTTCGATGGGAACATGCTGCCTCATGTACTTTGTATAATTAGTTCATAACAAGAAAGGTAGAGGGTGTATAAAAATCCGCATCGGGGAGGGGTACTCATAGTTCTTTGTTGTAACTGCGCCTATTTTTGGAACGTAACCTGACGTCCGGCGGTTACGTCAATGTTGCACAACCAATTAACGAGCAAGGCTAGTACCCCGTGTGACTGTATGAGTGGCCCGGGGAGTAAGTGAGGTATTAGGGTACGAGTTGACATGTGCATTCTACTACTGGTACTGACGAGACTATTAATCTCAGAGGTTTTCCTTCCGATCATATCACTCGTCCCAGTACTATAGAATGCTAGCAAAACGGCAGAACACACCACAGGAAACGTAAAAGGCAGACTGCGCCGTCAAAACAGCCACTAATGCGGCAAGATGCCGATTGGTTGTACAAAGGACAAATGAACGAAGTCTATACTGCGTAATGTTGCCCGTGGGAGCTGTGACGCCACTTCACTTCCAGCGAGGATTGTAGAGGTGTTGTAGTGGCGTAAGCTTCTTTTACAATGGGCAGAATCTGCGTGGTACGTATGGCTGCGCTATTCGCAAAATGCGATCACCATGGCCTTCTGCACGAATTAGCAGGCATCCTTTTAAAAGACAAGGCGTGAAACATTAACACTAGAATGAAGCCAGGGCACCACAGCCGCCTAACAACTCAGGTGCACATAACGGCGGAAAAAGAAGAGACTCGAATACGTATCTGCGCCGGCACATGAAATATGAGAACTTAACAATATGATGGACTAGCTCGTTCACTGTTGCCGCCTCAAACCTGAACTCACTTTTTCATTAGGAATTCAACCACAACTTACCCCTATAAATCTTTAGGAAGAAGTTCGGACCAGTAAAAAAAACGCAAGGGTGCGCATGCATGTGACTAAAAGAATCTCTTAAGTTAGGAAAAAACAAAAAAACTAAAAAACCATTTTGTCTTTGCTAATGTCTTATCATATGTATGAATACGGTGTATCATATTTTTCTAGCTTACCTTTCGTCTTTCTGTGCATTTCTTGAGTGCAATGTAGGCTTTGAATACGCCGGAGACAAGGCTAGGGCGAAATTTTATTTGATGCTTTATTCCAAGTCATCCCTAGTTTTCACCTATATTTTGCACGTTAATGAAATGCCGACTACGTGGAAAAAGAGCAGCTTCTATTATGGGCTCAAGCTCCATAAGTTTTACCAAGTTACAATAACTATCGAGTATTTCTTACAAACCTGAAATTGCTATCAAGCTACGCCTTAAGACTCGTGCACAGTAAAAAAAGACATTTTGAGGACAACCTGACCACTAACTACAATAAAAAGGGCATTAAAGTAAATTTTTCTGCAGGGCACATTCCTAATGAGCCGTGCGGGCATCCGCCTAATGCTGGCTGCTGGAATCAAGGAAGGAGCCGTGGTCAACGTGTCGAGCCTTGCCGCCAAGAGCGGCGTCCGGGGCATTGCCAGTTACGTGGCCTCGAAGGCTGGAATCTTGGGTCTCACAAGGTGCATGGCACTAGACGTTGCAGGCACGGGCATTCGGTGCAACGCCGTACTACCTGGCTTCACGGAGACGCCTCTGTCCGAGCATCTCTCCGAAGATGAGAAGAAGCAACTTACTGCAAGCATACCACTCAGTCGCCCTGCCCAACCACGCGAGGTGGCACAGGTAGTGGCATTCCTGTGCAGCCCACAGAGTTCGTACATGATCGGGTCCTGTGTCGATGTCTCCGGTGGAGCCATGGTTTAATAATAAAGTCACACACCCCGCATAACCACAATTTTGTAATCAATGAATAAATTAAAAACCATTTTCTCTCTTCAATAGCAGCTGTCACTGTCCCCATCATAGTCTCGTCGGCATCTACATTTTAACAAGACAAAGAAAGTCTATCAAAACTGAGTATTCGTCGTAAGGAAAGACGTTTCGAATATCGATGTTTAATATGCGAAAACTACGAGAAACGTGAAGACGAGGCTTATCCTGAAACTCATGTTCACGAACCGGAGGCAGTAGATTTGCTTTTTTGCATATCTACGGCCATGTTGCTAAACTGTTGGAGAAAAGGTTACTTTTAAATCCGAAGCAGTCGCTCGCGTTCTGCAAATACTTTTGTATTCTATCTATCTATCTATCTATCTATCTATCTATCTATCTATCTATCTATCTATCTATCTATCTATCTATCTATCTATCTATCTATCTATCTATCTATCTATCTATCTGTCTGTCTGTCTGTCTGTCTGTCTGTCTGTCTGTCTGTCTGTCTGTCTGTCTGTCTGTCCGTCTGTTAAGACTAAGGTTAAGGTTAAGGATGTTGTAGGTAGCCAGCGGATCTAGCCTTGCATAATTTGAAGGCAATTGCCCCTCCCAACAGTCTGTCTGTCTGTCTGTCTGTCTGTCTGTCTGTCTGTCTGTCTGTCTGTCTGTCTGTCTGTCTGTCTGTCTGTCTGTCTGTCTGTCTGTCTGTCTGTCTGTCTGTCTGTCAGTCTGCCTGTCTGCCTGTCTAGCCCCCTACGTCTAGCTGTTCTTGTTATCACCCTCTTAGCTCGTGGTAAACCAAGATTGTGTGGGAGAGCAAGATGGTTTGACAAATACAACTCGCTGGTCATGCCATGAATACTGTCACAATCCTGTCGCATACGTCATTAAACAGTTTCAGCCAGACAGTGGCACATATTTGTGCTAACAATAGTAACTTCATCAGAGTTGAGTTTAATGTTTACATTAAGGAATACACAAGTCTCTTGTTTTCGAAATGCTCCGCTTGACTTATGTGAGATTATTTTGTTCAAAGCAAGTTCGAGAGCACACACTCTCTTTGTGCAATCAATGAAAACGATTATAAAAGTGCTGTTACCCTCGAAAGACAAAGAGGCAACGCCAACAACGAGCTGCTACTCCAGAGACAATAGCACGACATGCGGCTGCTTCACATCTGCACAGACAGCAAGCTACCTCGAAGGCGAGAGCTCGGCAAGCAGTGGCCAAACGGCAACGTTGACAAGCTGCTACTCAGTAAATGAGGGCACAAAAAGCGGTGGCACAACGGCAAAAACACATTGTATATATTGTACAAACGTGGTGTCACTGTTTTACATGCGAAAGGGTACAACGTTACGGTAGGAACGATCCTCAGTGCTTCTCCCACTCGTATGATTCACTTCGTGGAGACGAGTAGGCATTTTTTCTTTCGATTGGCAGTGAGGTTTGATAACACAGAAAACTTCGGAAACTTGTTACTTCACAAGTTTAGCGGGTATGTTTCCTTCATGTCACTTCGAATAAAGGTTGGCTAGGAACAAACGCATACAACGCTTTCTATTCGCTGTGTCATTAGGTTAACAAGAGAAGCGTCCTTACAGGAATCAGTTGACCTGTTTCGAAAGTCGCAAGCTTATACGCAGTCAGGATGTATGCGGTACACGTGGCAGATTTCAGGGAGACGTCGAAAGCCTCTGCTGTCACTCGTTACCTATCCTTCAAAGAACACCTTTACATGCCCACTAAAACGGTGACTAAGGCTTTCCATAGCTTACGACCTGCGTTAATGACACCTACATTTCATTAGGCGACATATCACATTTTATATGATTTCGGGGACAGTATGCAGTATGGTGACTATAAGAAGGACGCTAGTGAGCCACCACCTGTTATACTCTTATATCACAAAACAGATGGAAGACAAATTATACAATACAATGTGTTTCTACCTTTATTCATTGGTGTTAGCTCCACAAATGGACGTCCGCGTATCTCCTACTGACGCCCGAACGAACTGTCTGATGTTTGAGCTTGCGTCAGTTGGAAAGATCTGATTAAGGCGTAGGAGAAAGTTCACTAACCACGTCAACACCGCGAAACGATTGAGACACTGTAGCTCCTTAATCAAGTCATGCCAACGTCCGATTGGAAGCATTGTTGATTAAATGTTTTTGTTGCGATCAATATAAAGTACAGGGTTCATCTGTCAGCCTGAAAGAAATGAATTGTGTGCGTTGCGTAAAAAAGTACTTTATAGGCCATATGTTCATGAAATAGCCAAGTGATAAAGAATACTGACAGAGAAGACTTTTTCCAAAGTGTACTTTGGACAAGTATTGCAGGAACCTCTTCTAGGGGACTTGCTGATTTAATTTGTTTTGTATCAAGTGCAGTAAAGCAGTAAACAAACTAACAAAAACAACGTAACGCAAGGGTTAAGAGCACCACAACGAGGCAAACAAATGTCTAGACAAAGATAGTACCAGTACCTTTTTTCGTCTTCACCTGCCACGACTGATGTACAAAGGAACTCCCGTTTAAGAGATTGACAAAGATAACAAGAATGACCAAGACACCTTGAAGCGACCAAGCGCTCGTCAGCGTAGAGGCAATGAACTGTTTTGGCTTGAGTGACTTAGAGAAGACCAGTGACCATTTGTTTTCACATATATTCTATAGAGACGCGCAGTGGCTCGTAAGAGAATGGCCCCAACTGATAAAGGCGTTGCACTTGTTAACTAGGTCAGACGGAGCCACGCTCATGACTTAGTTAACAATTCAGCGTGCTAATGTAATGTGTCGGCGTACTGATTTAAAACCAGAATAATGAGATATGCGGCAGTGCAAACGGTGACCTAATTCCGCCAAACAACTCAATATTGCCAGACATTCACCCGGTTTTATGGTGTCTGAGTTATCAATTTGTTAAGCTGCACTGTAAGGAACATAACCACAATTTCATTAGGTTTACATCACACTCATAAAAGTCTTAACTCGATGCTACACTGATATCTCTAAGTAGTTTATCCTTGTACAAATAAGACATTTTCATGATAGTAAGTAAGTGATGTTCTAGCTTCATAGATATCCCTTTATGTTCGATCACTCCCTTTGTTTGAATGAGAACTGGAAGAATAAGGACTTCCCGTCAGGTGCACAGTTGCCAGTACAACCTTTTTCAGAGTGGTCTTAAACATATTTGGGCTTTTTTTCCAGAGTCACTTGTAAAACTTTTAACTAACGTGTCACGTAGTTTCGGGCTTATTTGCATTTTCCTTAGAAAGTAGTTTCCGTAGTCACCTCGTTCACTAACAGCACGGTTGTCAATCACATTGTGTACTTAAATGTTAAAGTCAAAGAGACGGGGAGAGGTAAACAACAAATGACGTTCATTATGCATTAGCAAAGGTGCAATCAATTGAATGCAGACTGTCGTACAGAAAGGGGCTGTGGAAATGGGAGGGCATGCATGCCCCTCCCACTAACAGCTGCTACGACTTCCTCTCCCCCCTTCTTTTCTCGCCTTAGAAAAACAGAGGTTGTTATTATGCATGATTGCTGATATATATGTATATATATATATAACTATATAGATATATATATAGTCAGGTCCGTCCTTAATTTACCTAATAATATTATTTATATATATATATATATAGAAGTATATATACTAGTATAGATAATAGTATATATATAATATATATATATATATATATATATATGGTTACGTAAAATGAGACGGGACGAGACTATTTGCCAGTGAATTTACACCGATAAAATCGGAGCGCAGCACAGAGAGCGAGAAAAACCAGTCCCCTCGTCGTCTTCTGTCCACAGAATGATTCACCCTTCATGCGATAGCTACGTAGAATTACCCCCGGATTTAATAGCACCGACTCGGTGCACTTTATATGTGTTCTTCAGAAGGAGGGCGGTATAGTTTCAACCATTTACGTGGACTACGTCACTGGGGTGTTTGCAGACAAATTAGTCCCTGAGACTGGAATGACCTCATAGGTAACGTCCGTTACCCGTCCTATGATCCGGTAAGGGCCCTTGTACGGGGATAGCAAATTCTCTGACAATCCAACACGACGAACTAGGCTCCAGAGAAGAACTAGAGAACCAGGTGAGAAGTCCACGTCGACATGCTCGCTGTTGTAGAGAGCCTTCTGGGTTGCTTGGGAAGCCAACAGCTTAGAGCGGGCAATATGACGAGGGTGGTCGGCCCGAGTGATAGCATCGCGTGCTTATTCGCTCGGCGGAGGTGTAGTAGTCCGTAGTAGGGTTTCTAGTGGTAAGGTCGGATTACTGTCATAGAGCATATAAAAGGTGAATAATCTGCTGGGTCATGACGAGATGAATTATAGGCGAATGTCACTTGAGGTAGCACTAGACCCCAGTCATGGTGGTCAGATGAGACATACATCGAAAGCATGTCCGTGAGGGGGCGATTTAGGTGTTTGCTAAAACCATTTGTTTGAGGATGGTAGGAAGTGGTCAGTTTGTGTTGCGTTGAGGAAGAGCGCAAAAGGTCGTCGAGTACGCGTGACAAAAATGCGCGTCCACGATCGGTGAGCAATCGCCGAGGAGCGCCATGGTGTAGAAGTACATCGTGGAGCAAAAAGTCGGCAACGTCAGTAGCAATGCTGGTGGGGAGTGCTCTGGTGATCGCAAACCTTGTCGCATGGTCTATAGCAATGGCGATCCGCTTGTTCCCAAAGTTTGATTCAGGGAATGGTCCCAGGAGGTCTACACAACACGGAAGAAAGGTTCGGTAAAGACGGAAATCGGGTGAAGGAGACCACCAAGGGGGCGGCAGGTCGTTTTCGACATTGGCATTTATCGCAGGAGGCCACGTAGCGCTGAACGCACCACGCGAAACCACGCCAAAAGAAGCGGCGCCGAACGTGGTCGTGCGTGCGAGATACGACCAAGTGGCCGGCAGTTGGTTCGTCGTGAAGCTCATGCAGGACCGCTGAACCGAGATGGTTTGGCAAAACTAGAACTAGCTCAGGGCCATCTGGCTGGACGCTACGATGGTACAGCGTGCCACTTAG